TCTGCAGCCCCAGGGCACCTGCGTCAGGCCTCGGGCACCAGCTGCGCTTCTGCTCGCGTAGGTCATCCCGGCGTGGACGGGCACGGGGAGCTGGAACCAAGGGCTGTCTCTGCAGCACCCGCTGCTGGGGGGCTCCCTTGGGGGGGCGTTTCAGAGGGCACAGTTCTTAAGTTTGCTTTAAGTGAGCTGGAGACGCGAGAGGCCATGTAAGTACCTGCCTCCCTGCAGGATTTGGGTGCTGGTCCCTGGTTGGAAGTGCCTCCTCGGGTGGATGCAGCGCAAGCTGCTTTCGGGATGGGGTGGTAGGAGGCACTCGGAGATGCCCAGGGCACTTGGGGCTCTGGGATCCAGGGTGTAGAGCTGGGAACCTTGTTGCTCTGGTGGGCTGGGAGCCTGGATGGGGAGGAGGCAAGGGAGAGTGTTTGGGCACGTCTCTGTGTTCTGGCGGTGCCGTGATCTCCAGGGAGTGCAGTGGGCTCCTGGCTGCACCTGACAGCAAAAGCACAGCCTCTCCCATCAGTGCCCAGGTGAGGTCAGCGTGTCCTGCCCCGGAGCCCATTGAGCCTGGGCTGGGGCTGGCCGGGGAGCTGCTCCCTTCTGAGCAGCCTGGCCAAGCCAGCCAGGCATGGCTGTGCCGTGCCAGGAGGTCACGCTGAGTTTTATGGGCAATGAAAGTTTTATAGAGCTGCTTTCTCGCAGCTGGTGGAGGTGTCCTGTGGCTTTTCAAGTAAATCCCACGTGCCTTTCCCATTAGGGCAGTGGGTCCCTGCCTGGATTCCTGATGGGCTGCAGGAAAAGTGGGGGACCTGCCAGCAGCCCATATGGGGGAAAGTCTTGCTCTGGGCCCTGGCCCAGATTGAAGGACTATCGCTGTGTCGGCTGGGGCTGGGTCTCTGGTTGCACGCCGAGCACTACTGCACATAGCTCCAGGGCTTTGGGACCCCTTGGGGGGCTTGCCCCAGGGGCTTACCCTCTGCAAGAGCAAAGAGCAGGCAGGCAAGGCTGTGGCAGCAGCAAGGCTGGCTGCTCCCCGGTTCCCCGTCCCTGTCTGTTCGGGAAAGGTTGTGCCTGCAAGCAGGGGAGGTAGCCCCGAGCCTCCGGAGGGGCTTGCCCTGTGCAGGGAAGGCTGGGGTGCGAAGTGCAGCAGCTTTGGGCATACGGTGGCAGCTGGTGCAGCAGGTTCAGTCAGTAATCTCCCAGCCTTCCAACGTGTTTTCCTCTGTGCTTTATTTAGTGGTAAGGTATCAATTCTGTCTTCCTGAGACCACGGCATGACAGGAACGAGATCAGCCTCCGCTTAACCCCACACATTCAATTCAGATTACGTCCATGAGGTTATAACGGTGGCAGAGAGGATTAAAAGTGTTAGAAGCTGCAAGGAGTCACCTTTCCTGTAAGTAGCTGTCCTCTGGCAGCACCCCGGCTGCTCAGGCACAGCCAGGCATCCCTCTGCAAAATCTTCCTCCAGGTAGCATGAATCCCCTGGGACACTCCTGGCTGTCAAGTCCCCTCTGTAGCATCCCCAGAGCTGCTCTTTGAGCCTGACAACTGCAGGAGACCTCCATCTGGTGGGAACCACTCCCTGCCGTTAGCTAAAGCCTCCCGAGCAACGCAGAAAGTGCTTCTTTGTAAAGTTAAATAACTCCTTCCCTGCAGTGCTTGCGATGCAGCACTGCAGCAGGGCCCGAAGCCCAGGATGCAGGGCTCTCGGGCTTGGCTGGGGCTGCGACGTGCCTGGGGAGTTGTTAGCACGGGCATGTGTGGGAGAATAAATCAGCAGCTGAAGCGGCTGCAGAGAGATGCGGATCTGAAGCCGAGGGCAGCGTATCCAAGTTAAGGTGTCAGTGAAGCTGGGCACCAGCTTGTGGCTGTGTCCCCTGTATCCTGGCTGTCGGCGTGCCCAGGGAAAGCTCTGTAGGGAACCCTTTGGTGGCTGAGTTCTGGGAAAGGGGAGGACAATGCTTTGCTGGGTTGTATCACAACTAGGCCATAGCTCATCATGCAGGCGGGATGGGACCGCGCTGTGAAGGGGCTGCTTCCCTGGCCCAGAGCAAAGCATTCCTGTACCCTCCGGAAAGGGTTTGCACGGACACTCGTGGCCCAGGGGTGCAATGCCAGCCCCCCGCGTGAGGCCCTGGGAGGTTTCAGGCATGCTCTCGGCTCTGGTAGCCGGGCTCATACCTGCTCCTCGATGCTTTTGTCCCTGCTAACGGGGAGGAGAGGAGCGGGAGAGCTGCGTTCTGCAGTTTGAAGGTCATCTGTCAGCGACAGCGGGAGAGGAGGCTCTCTGCAAGGCAGGCGCGAGGGGTGCCGCGCTGCGCCTGCTGCGAGCCCTCGGCTGGGGCGGGGGGCGGACGGAGTGGCAGGCGTCCAGGGCAGCGATGCTAATTAGTGCTCAAACTCCCCGCTTGAAGAACAGAGCGCTCTGCTTTGCTTTGGGCTTTTTTTCCCCCTCTTTAAAGTTCAGCTGAAGGCCTGGCGGATAACATGCAAATCAGGGCTTTCATTTGCACGCTGTTTTCGTGGTGATATTCTGGTCCCCTTTGAATCCGCGCTGTCTCCGTGGGTGCCAGCTCCCGCTGTTCCTCCAGGAGCGGCTCCCTTTCCGCTGCCCAGGGGCCGGGGACAAGCGGGGTGGCTCCTGCCGTGGCAGGCTGCCGTGCCGCAGGGGGGTGAGGGGTGACAAACCCATCCCTGGGCTCTGGGGGGGCTGGGCTCATACCCCTGTTCTGTGGCTGTGGGGAGGAGGATGCCAAGGGTCCCTGGCGGAGCAGGACCTGGGGGGCAATGGCTGAGTCCTGCTGCCCCCCCTGGGAGGGCATCACCGATGTGACTGATGCTGCAGCTGGAGCCTGGGATGCAGTGGGGGACAAGTGTGGCCAGCAGGTCAAGGGAGGTGCTTCTGCCCCCCTACTCTGCTCTGGTGAGACCCCACCTGGAGTGCTGCGTCCAGCTGTGGAGCCCTCAATATCAGAAGGATATTGACCACTTGGAGCGAGTCCAGAGGAGGCCACGAAGATGATCAGAGGGCTGGAGCACCTCTCCTATGATGAAAGGCTGCGAGAATTGGGCTTGTTCAGCCTGGAGAAGAGGAGGCTCCGCGGAGACCTCATTGGAGTTTTCCAGTATCTGAAGGGGGCCTACAAGGGTGCTGGGAGAGGACTTTTTACAAGGGTCTGTAGTGATAGGACAAGGGGTAATGGGTATAAATTGAAATCAGGGCGGTTTAGATTAGATGTCAGGAAGAAATTCTTCCCAGAGAGGGTGGGGAGGCACTGGAACAGGTTGCCCAGAGATGTTGTGGATGCCCCCTCCCTGGCTGTCTTCAAGGCCAGACTGGATGTGGCTTTGAGCAACCTGGTCTAGTGCAAGGTGTCCCTGCCCATGGCAGGGGGGTTGGAACTAGATGATCTTTAAGGTCCCTTCCAACTCTAACCATTCTATGATTCTATGATTCTAAGTGGTCCCTCCAGGCTCTTTCTTCCCCCAGCCCCATCTGCCCCTTGGGTGCAGCTCCGCAGCACAGCCCGGCAACAGGCTGGGGTGCTTCCCAGCCCCAGGAATGGCTGGGCAGCAGCAGGCTGGGCTCCATCCCAGCACCATGACCTCACGTCTCCCTTCCCTCTCCCTGCCAGGCTTGCATGTCGTCGCCATCGCCTTCGCCTTGGAGGTGTCGGTGGGGAAGACCAACACTGTGATGGCTCTGAATAACTCCGATGTCCTGCTGCCCTGCACCTTCACCACCTGCATAGGCTTTCAGGACCTGGTCTTCACGTGGTACTTCAACTCGACCGAGATGGTGGGTGGCTCTCTGGGCTTTGTCGCTGTTTGCCTGGCAGGTCCTTTTTGCACTTTCCTGGTGCAGAGCAGCACCACAGTACTCGCAGAATTCACCTTCTCCTCTTGCAGGAGGCACTCGGAGGGACAGGGAGGGGGATGGGACTGTGCAAACAGGGTGACTCAAATACCCTGGCACATCCGTGCTTTTGGCACAGAGCTGTTCTGGATTTTCTGCTGCCCACAGGCTCATTTCTTTGCATAAATTGGCCGTTCGGGTGCCAGTCTGCACTTTGAGCAACATACGGTTAATTTTCTCCTCCTCTGCTTGCTCTGACACACTAAAGGTCTGTGTAGATTCGCTTCCCGCTCTTCAACTCCTTATCAGGGGAGAGTTTAGAGCAGGTCTCTCCTCACAGGCTGGCCAGCCCAGCACGGCCGTAGAGCAAAGGAACTTGCTCTCCGTGTCCTGGGGTTCCCTGCCTTTGGCTAACATATGGCCGGTAACATTACTGCAGGGCAAGTCACCACACTGACCTGTTGTTTCCCCGGTGGGTTGTGCATCATGTCCCCTTCCACAGCCGTTCCTGCTTTAATGGGCTGTGCTGGGACACTTGGCCACACGTGTCCGTGGATGCTGAGGTGGGGGCAGGATGCCGGCAGAACTCCAGCCCTTCCCTCGCCTGGGATTGTCAGGAGCCTGGCTGACCCCACGTCCTGCATCCCTGCCTCTGCAGATTTACCACGGCAAGATAAAGAGCAAAGCCTCGGAGCCCTTCCTCGTGAGCCGCAACCCACGCGTCGAGTTTGTCGGCTCGACGACCGGGAAGGACAACAACATCTCCATCGTCCTGAAGAACGTGGAGTTCAGCGATGCTGGGAAATACACCTGCCACGTCAAGAACCCCAAGGAGAAGAACGCGCAGCACAACGCCACCATCTTCCTGACGGTGGTCCAGAAGAGTAAGTGCCGGCCGGGGCTCCCGTGGCCCGCAAGTGGCACCAGGGCAGCGGGGACGCAAACCTGTGCTCATGGCTGTGGCGGTGCGCAGGGTGTCCTGGCTTCTCGGAGGTCGTTGGCATCCCTGAGGGGCAGGGCTTGGCCTCCTGCCCCTCTGTGCTGTGGGTCAGCGGTGGTGGAGGGGTTCGCTGCTTTTCGGGGGGGCCGTGCAGCTGGGTGCTCCCTTGAGGCCCCCTCAGCACCTTCTCTCCTGCAGTGGTGGAGACAGACAACACTCTGACGCTCATCATCGTGGGCGTTGTGGGGGGGCTCATCGGCCTCCTCATCCTCTTCATGCTCGTCAAGAGGGTTGTGCTGTTCATCATCAAGAAGACACAGGATGGGAAGTGAGTGCGGGTGC